AGGCATCTTACCAGGCACGATCCGACCCTTCTTCCTCCTTCCCTCCCCCCTTCCCCAATGTATCCCTCCTCGTGTGCTCCTACCCCGCGGAGGTCTCCCGTGACCTCGCGTTTATGCGAACCACCAACCAGCTCCTGCACCTCCCCCGCACAACCACCGAGTTTCCTCCCGATCGAGTGCGCGACCGACCGCCATTACGTTATACCTGGTCTCACACTCGTCGTCGCATAGGAGAACCTCGGCGCTCGGGTTAATATCAGTGCAGCTGCAGCTGCATCGCTGCACTACCGTGCGCGCCAAGATACCAGGCCTAGGGGGTCAGCCAGGTGGGAGGGGAGATGCCGACGTGTCGTGGAGAAGGGGGGGGGGGGGGAGGGTCTACGACATTGCCTACCGTCTGGTTTCCCCGGTTCTTGCCGCCTGTTTACAATCGTGGAAGATCGGTGCCTGGTACATACACCGCTGGTACCGCCAGGTATGGTAGCCATCCGCCGGTTTGGTACTTGACGCGGTTTACAACAGACCGCGCCGGGCCGGGGAAAAGCCACGGCGCGAGGTTCAGGGCACTAAAAGGGCCTGCCTTTGCGGAGAGTATCGGCGCGGCTACCAGCTCGCCCCGGCGGAGCGGAGAACAAGGACGTATCGCGGGTTTAAGGTTACGGTTGATGATACCTCGATTATTTGTACGAGCTTCCGACCTCAATATGATTTACTGGAAACTCTCTCCCGAGAAAGTTATGACGATCATTATATCGCTCGGCGAATAGATTGTTAAATACTGTATTATTTATTGCTAATTATCTGCTATTATTAGGAAAGCCTGGTGCACGTTTTGAAATTATGGGATCAATAGGTCGCAGTAGATCCTTCGGTTAGAATCTGAACTCCAAGTGCGCGGAAATTTTTTGTTCCCCTTTCTTAAATACTTGAAACCTTTGAAATACGATGAAAGTGATCAATTTCCGATTAATCATGGGCGAGAACGCTCCTATTAGAAATAAGTGAAGATAAATCTCGAGCACGAAAAATCTCGATAATACGAAAGAATGTACGGGACGTGGCCGATCATCGAGGACTTCGTATGCAAGCGAAGTAGCCTCGAGGTGTGCGGAGATTTCGGAGCCGATAAAAAAAGGGGAAGTACTGGGCGGGTGGAGAAAAAGGTGCTTCGCGCAGGGACGTGGCGAGAATCGTGTGACCTTCGATCTCGGAGAGGAAACCTCCGGTTCTCCATATCCGACGAATGATGTCGTTCGTTAGCTCGTACCATTGGCCAGCGGCTCTCAACTCGCTCTATCTGGAATTCCAGGAGGAGAGGCCGAGTACGATGATATCAATACTCGCGAGAGATACACCCGCGAGGGAGGAGCGCGCCATATCTCTCGCGATACCATTGTGGCGTACCAGCGTCTACTCTACGAGTACACTGCCTGCTAAAAGTTCAAGAAATCGCTTGAGAAAATTGCGATTCAAGCTCTAACCCCCTAAATTCAAAATGAATAACTAAAGTAATCGAAATGCCCGCTCAAAGGTGGCACAAAGTCGGTGAACGTCGTAAAGTACCCTAGTCGCCGTTTCGTGTTTTATCACCAACCAAGCATTGTACACTAACTGTAAAATTCATTCGAGTTCATTGATATTTTCCGGTTCATTACATTTCTTACTCTTGTAACCGAAGTGCTGAAGTGTGAAGAGCACCGCGTCACGGTCGGGCAATATGCTGAATATACTCAGCACGCGATCGTTACTTACGCCGCTACCATAATCCGCGGCGATTAGGCGCGCTTGTCCGCGACGGAGCAGAAAATCGGACGAGTTGCCTTAAACGGCGATTCCGAACTGCGCTGAAATATAAACACCCGTTCCCCGTGAAAGAAGAGCTTTCTCACATCGGACAAACGCCATGTCCAATATGACATGCTCGTTACTTCCAGCACCCGTATCGCTATTGCGCCCCTCGCCGGAGGAGATAAAACCGCCACGCCGGAATTCCATGTGCGTCACGTTTGCACCGTGCGTTTTGAAATTCGAAACAGGTCTCTCGGTTCCTTCCGAGAGGAGTTATACATCGGCATGGCCAGAGGCATGAGCCGCGGCTCATCTCTTCGCGGTATTGTTGCATTCGTCGACCTCTTCTGCTCCTTCGCGTTATGATGTAATTCGCCACACGCGTCTCCAAGATTCTCGGACGTGCGGGATATCCACACCGCGTCTCTCTCGTCTCCTTGAACTTAAGACACCGTGTATACGTGCGATAGAAGACCTCACGCGTGTCGGCGTGTATAAGCCCCGTATATACGAGCTCGCGCGCTTCCAGCGAGTGTGCGCGCTTACGCCAGTGGCGTAGAAGAGTGCCGGTTGCTTCATTTGATGCTGTATTATGTCACAACGCGTTGCAGCCGTAAAATTTAATTAATTAGCTGTTAAAATTAGATATTAATATACAGATCTATAGAATTAATATACAATTAACGCTCAAAGTTCGAATTAATTATGGAATTATTTGAGCAATTTGTAATTTAATATTTATATATTTAATAAATAAAGTTTCCCCTTTATTACGTAATAACTTGTAATAACTCTCGCTCACATCTAATTGTCTCTGTTTTTGCAACCGTTTGCTCAAATCTTTTTCATCTCTCTAACTATCTCGGACCTTTATGGCGGATATGATATAGTATTTTTACGACACGGCCGGTAGGCAATTATGCGTTTTTCATCGAGAAAAGAGCAATGATGACGATCGTCTGCCGCTCGTAAGCGTAATGAGTCCGCGTTACTAATGATCGCACGTTTGTAATCACGTCGAAGGACCGGATGCCGCCGGACGCGCCGATCAATCGACGATACTTGCGACGACCTTGGCAATTACTACGAACCCGTTTTATAACCCCCCCTGACATTTTTCTAGTGCGCACGAAATGTCATTCGATCGCTAACGTTAATTTTGCGGTAGCTTTGTGCAGGCAATAGCGGGTTTGTTTTGGAGCAACATGATATTTCGAAGAAACGTCCGTGCAAACGATGCTTATAATTCTACACAATCCTCTTCTTAACAGCTTGTTACAATAGTTGCAAATGTATCCTCAATTAACTTTCACATTAAAATAATTAGAACATTCTGATATATCGTTATTTATATTGTTAACATATTTCCACGCCCATTTTAAATGACATCCACCGTACAAGCCGCCAATGACACAATATTTTTGTTTATTATATTTGTAAAATGCATTTTATAGCAGTTAAAAATTACAAAAATTATTATTAATATTATTATTAATAAAGGAGCTGTGCCAATATTGGATTATAAAATCATTATAAATCCACGCACGATATATCAGAATTTATTTTGTAATTACGTTTCTTTTTATAAAAAATAAAAAATATTAAACGGACTGAAAGTCCAGCGTGGTTCACCGGTGACTGATGCGGCACGAAATGTGTCGACAAATTTTATCCTACAGATTATCAGTTATATATAAGTTAAAATGACAGTTTAAGCGCTGCAAAGTCACAAACCAAACGGGCGTGATTTCCCGGCGGAAATAGTGCTAACGTTTAGCAACTTTTTGCCAGCCCAGTAAGGGGTGGTAACCACCCTCGCGTTACGCGGTCCAACGACGCCCGCGTGAGCCAAGGATTACGCTTCCTGGACGCTTACTCCGCCGTTTTCCTGAGATAACGACAGGATTAATCCGCCCTTTCCGGCGAAGAGTGCCGCAACAAAGCGGAACGACCGCGCCCGCCGGTTTTACCGGAGGAAGTCGTGCTCTTCTGCCTGCACTTCGGCATGCACCTCTCGTGTCTGACGCACGTTCCTCTCCATGTCCGGCAACGTTCATCCACCCGTCGACACTCACAAGCGTCAAGACCCCGATACAAGCGCGTGCTGGAGACCCGCGTGTAAGTATGTTCGCGGCTCCTCTCTTCCATGCGCGAGCGTGACATAGGAGTACTTGGAGATACGAGGTAGGTAAGGTAAGTAAGGCTCGTGCCCTGCCCGCACGGTGACTGAACCCACACAGCATTTCACGTAAGGAGCGCACACGCATGTGCACCAATACATATACGCACGAAACCGGCGCGCGGTGCATATACACGCTCGCCCGAGTCGAGACATCAGACCGAAGAACCGTTCAAAGAGAGCCCGAGAATCTCATCAGTTAAGATATCGATGTGCTTTTTGGATTAAAGCGCGCGACGGTGGTTTAACTGCGCGCATGGGTGAAGAACGGTGGAAGCTGCTCATTAATTCGCGTTATTTTATTATCGCGCCATCGACCCCTCTAGGCCGTGAGAAGGATGATTATTACTGCAAGAGAAGTAGGTACCGCGAAATTATGTGACGTTAACAGAGATATTAAATCTCTCAGCTTGTTATAGCTTTCTTATTATCGTTGTATCCTGGACTTTTGTAAAAATTTAAAGGTACTTACTTGTGTATAACGTGTGTATACACCATGTTATTACAAACTATATAAATAAAAACATTTATACCATGCTATTATGAACTACACATAAGTAAAATTATAAAATTATATAACCTCTTTGAATCATTATTAACACAAAAATGAAAAAAAATTATAAATTAAATATAAATTTTTACAGACTAAAATCGACAATCCTAAAAAACGTTTCTTGTTCACGCGTGGCATTAATCAAAAACAGATGCACGTAATTGTTATCAATTTGAGCCTCAGCGCATCTCCCGAAGGGTTTGTTTAAGTACCGGGAAGTACGCGGAAGATCGCGGTTGAGCGAAAGAGGGGCTCTTCGCGTACGTGGAAGTGTGCTCTTTGCTCCAGTCTGTCATAAACCTTCCAAGAAGAAGCGTCTTGATTACGAATGTCGCGCTTGGGAGAAGTGACATATTCATGACAGACTAATCGCCGCGTTTGCGTTTGCGGAACGCACGCGCGTTCATTTGTCACGACGAAGAAACCGAATGTAACTATTGAAAAGAATATCCCATAAGTAAGACCGCTAAGATCACGTACCTTGTCCTCACATGTCTTGTGGCAGATGTACTTGCACACTGAAATAAAAAAAATTTTAATTTTAAAAAATTTTAATTAAAAAAAAAAATTAATAGGTAACATGATGTTATGGATTTTTTTTCAATCTTATTAATTTTAATCATAAAACTCGTTAAATTTATGAGTGAATTTTAAGACAGTAAGTAATTTCGTTTTATTTATTCATGAGCACACGTTGCAAAGTCATTAAAATCATATTGCAAGCATCTATAATCGCTTCTTCGATCCACGCGGCATGTTAACTTACAATCACGCTAATTGCCTACTAGTAGATACGGACGCCTGTGATCAGTCCGACCCAACTTTCACGCGCGTACACAAACGTGCATACGATCGAGGATGCATTTCTGCATTAATCGTAATAATCATCTCGTGTAATCTGGACCGGGGCAATGAAACGTAATACCAGTAATAACGCTAATAATAATAATAATAATAATAATAAAAAAAAAGAAAAATGTCGAGTTTCATCGCCGCAGCTGTCTTGTTTTAACCGCGCACTCTCAGAAGCTTCCGTATCAACAATTGATTCGAGAGTACTACCGACGAGAGCCAGCTGTTATACCCACTTCATTGCCCTGAAGGGAATGATGTTATCGACTCACCTCTGCAGCAGGAAGCTTGCTTGATCACCGCCTGGTGGCATAAATGACATGGTCGAGGTTTGCGCAATTGCTTCGTGCGGAACACGTGACACTGGGGTTCGAAGTCGCTCTGAAACACAGCAAGAGGAGAGACTCCAATTATTGCGATGATCGTTTCGGGTGATCAAGAAAGGAAATATCATCGACCGGCGCCATTCCGTGCTTTTTGCGACCGACTTTTTTCGTCGACATCGATCAATTAGTCGCGAGAACCTTCCGAGCGATTAACCTAGTTAAGACACGGCATTATAAATGAGAAGTCTGTTTAACAGTGGTGGTACTTGAGGGAGAAACGCCTTGTGCCCGAAACGAGGTCGCAGATTTCAAGCCGCGACTCAAATCCTGATGGACACATGATGAAGCATTTATAAGTTAAACCAATCGGATTGCAAGACCAACATCGATGTTGACACTGCACGAATTTGTCTGTCCGTAACATAATATTTATATTATTCGAATATTTATAAAATAAATATCCGAAAATAAATAATTTTATTAGGCTGTTGTTATTTAATATACTGATGTTTCATGAGAAAACTAATAATCATGACCAATTCTGAAGACTGATCTCTCAGTGTCACACTTAACGCAAGAGAAGAGATGAAAAAAGGTTCTTAACTTCGAAAGAATCTAAATAAAACAGAATTTATGGGACAATAGCACGTATTATCGAACATAACGAACTTTTCACAGAAAAAAAGAATGCAGTGCGCATTTGCAATATTGGCGGCGCGCAACGAGCTCGTACGATTAATCACATAACAAACCGAGGATCAGCTCCACTTAATCACTGCTCCGAGAATCTCTCGACCGCGCGCGCTTCGCGGCAATTATAATCATTCTCATGTGTGGCTTTTCTGCGGCGCAGATGGGAGAAGGCTCTCGAGCGGACGGCCGGTGCATAAATTGAGAAAACAGAACAGCCATTCATTAGGATCGCGTTTATCCCCGGATACGCTGCCGGCGGAAGGCTCGCCTCTATGACTCCGGTACGACAGTCAACCTGTTAACAGTACTTAAGCCGGTGCGCAGCACTCTATCGGGGGAGGCGCAGTTTGCGAAGTTATGCGCAAATAAGCGCTCGAGGCGCTCGCTGCATCTTCCGCGAAGAAGCGCGGCCTCCGATTACGGGCACGCGATGCACGTGGTCCTCTTCCTCGAAGAAATACCCCGTCTTTTCACCCACAATCGAATCCCCCCGCGGAGGAAAACGCGAATTTGAATACGAGTTGCTGGCGAGTCGCGCTCCGTGAAGCACGAGTGAGCAATTGCATGCACAGATAGTTCGAAAATCCATATATAGGAATGAATTCTTTTAAATTGAAAACATTCTATTACAGATAGAACTACAGACTTAAAATACATGCTAGGTTTTAAGGAGGGCGTCATAAATCCCCGATAAAAATAAAAATCTTAGCATAAGTAAAAAGTGACAGAAGCGTAAACAAACGTTCTAATAAGGAGCGTAGTATTGGAACAATGAAACTAAAAGAAGCGTTAAAATGCTTCATAAACGCTTTACATTTCGTTGCTCCAATCTACACTCTCTAGAATATTTGCTTATGCTTCTGTCACGTACTCTTCTCTTACATTTGATTCACGATCCTTTTTGTTCTTACGCTTTATTCTCGCCAAGAATGAAATCATTATTCAAATTTAAAGAAATATTATTCTTAAGAAAAAAAACTTATATTTCACAAAAAGAAGTGAAAGGGAAGATATTTCAAACAATGTAGAACAGAATGCATCTCAATGTACGAATATAGTCTCGTTGTAGTCTGCGAAAGGCTCGTGAATACGTGCACTTACGCACACGCGTGCCATGTATTCCCCGGCACAGATATTTAACGGGTTTAATTATTGCACGTGAGCGGCGCAGCAGTAAAACGTTTTTTAATGAGTCACGTAATTAAGACGCGAGAAAAACGCATCATTCGAAAGATAAAGAGAGAGAAAGAGACATATCTTTGAATGAAATTCGCACGATATCCTATCATTGGTGCGTTAATTTTATTACATATAACAAATTTTTTTATCAACTTCGATTGGCAACAAATGCAATCCGTAAGTTACAAAACACCACGTCATTACCACCATGCAATATTTCGTAATTATCATTTTTATTAGCATCGTGAAATACGCGCGCACTATGAATTATTATAATATTACACGCACTCCATGCGCGTAATTAATCACTATCTTTCAGTGTTAAATTTCTGTAAGGGTTTCTTCATTTATCATCATAAACAATATCAAGCACTTGTTTCTTTTTACCAAACGATAAAAAATATGAGGTTCCCATTGCATCGTTTTTTTTTTGCCGAGTATAATCGCGAAATTTCATCCGGGAACACCTCATCTGTCGAAATTACTCCATGGTTGATTTATTCTCGCATAATAAACATTGTGATAAAACACATACATTTTGTCGTCATAAAAGTAATTTGTACAATGCGAGTAAATGTCACACTTCGAAATAAATATAAATTTCTTGGAATTTGTATACAGCTTTTAAACATAAATGACTATTATAATATGCTCTTTTTATTTGCCTCTTTTGTTTTCTCTTATATTTGGTATATTTAATATAAAACTTATATATGCTAATATAGAAAAAAAACAAAAAAATTAAAAATATGAGATAATCTGTAATAAATGCATGTGGGAATTTGTCAAAGACTTGAAAAGATTTAACGGTATTTTCTCTCTATTACAAATTTTATAATTCTGCAAATATTTCCCACGCTGCACCTTTCTCTCATCGGTTTCAACGAGTTCAATTTCACGAGTTCTGGAATGTCAAATGCATTATTCAGCGAGTACATTATTACTAGAAAAGCAATGATCATGGTCATATATTAATTACCGGTTGTTCGCGATTATTGCGCAGAAAGCGCAATAATTCCTCGCTTTTTAGAATTTTTAGATCATCGAAATCCGCATGAGAGACAGAACAGTTGTTTAATATCAACCATCAATGGTCTCCCAACAGTAATTTAATCCCCTTAATGATAGTACATCTAATTCGCCATTTAATTACCGGATACGTTCATACAGCACTTCCCGGCAGTACCGTAAGAAAAGGAAGAAAGAATAACGAGGTAGATGTAACAATGTGCGCTGCTGTTGAATTTTGTAACGATTATGCATATACTTGTTGACTAATTACCGGATTCATTAATATCCCAGGGTCTTTAACTTCATTAAAAGGGAGCACCGTCATTGCTCATACGGGGTCTAATTGATCTTTAATCTTCGCAAATTGGAAGGAATCAATGGGATTTCGCGAACTTCGTGACTTTGCTTTTAAAACTCTGCGACTTCTACGTCTTTCAAAACTTCTCCAAGAAGATTTCGTCTTACATCATGTGCTTCTTTTTCCTATAAACTTATCCTTAAAAAACTTAAATAATTTTAATTTTATTTCTTATATAATTAGAAACTCGTTTTTAATATTCATTTTTCTATGAATATATTAATTCACTTTATTCAATCGTTTTTAAGACAAAAATTAAATGAAACGGAGACTTATAAAGCTGACTGGCATTTCTATAACGACTAAAGTTTTTCAATAGTTTTTCGATCGTATTCATTCTACTCGCGATTTAATTATATAACCGCTTTACTCTGTTCGAAATAAAACTCGTATGATTAGACAAATTATTCGCGTAATTTATCGTGCACATGTGAATTTTTCATTCTATGGTCAAGAGTTTTCTTGTGCGATATGAACGGAGTATGCCTAAATAAAACGATACGGCAAGATTTGGTTTAACAAGCGGGTTGATTTAGGATCGCATCACGGATAACCCACCTTGCCGCGAGTGGATAACTATATTTCATAATAGATTCAGTAGATCGTGCGATATATCATGTAACGTGTAATTTCAGCATTGCGCACGTTCAATGGGCGCAAAACGTATATATAACATTGTGCGGCCTACTGTAATTCGTGATAAATGCATACGACGGAGATCCGTTTTAATGAATTCGAAACGAGCCAAATAGTTCTGCGGTTCTAAGCACCTGTTGTTTCAATAAATTCAGAGAGCTATTATAATCTAACAATAAATTGTAGTTAGTAGCGCCATTTCAATGGTGCTATGGTTGAATGAATAAAATTTCTCGTACAGACACACACATAATTAAATAATTAAACGTTGAATATTTCATGTAAGTCTATAGCATTTCTCTGCAATAATATATAAGAAAAAATTAAATTAGCTAATTTAGAAAATAGATTAAAGAATAGCTAACAAATATCAATAAAAAAATAGAAAAAAAATAGCTTAATAAATTTTAGACATGTAATTGATGTAACGTTATTTAAAAAAATATTACTGTGTATCTATAATATATATAAATTATATCAACAAATTATGATAAATTTTCAACTAAATATTTTAGCGTAAAAAAGCAACAATTCCTTATGATAATCAACGGTAGTAATTAACGATTCTCCATGTAAAAAGGACCAGAGAGTTTCGCGGCTTCTTTTTAGTGCCGCCAGAACCTCAATTTAAAATCTATTTACGGATTTTGCGTCTCTGATCCTACGGAGCTTATGCAGAAAGTCAGATGCTCACGTTGAACGTGGGTTCAAAGCTCGGGCAAGCGATTCAAGTGGCATCAAGTGCGCTTTCTCTGTCGCGATATCGCGCATAGGCCTCGAGCAGCGCGAGTTCTTTCGAAAGAAAACGAAGAGGAAGAAACGATGGGAGGCGAATGAGAGCTCGAACAGAGCCGGCTTTGTCGGGTCGCGTTCGCGCTTGCGACTCGGAATACTTCGACTTGCATTAACCGCGGGGAAAAGACGAGAGCTCGCGTTTCCTCCCCTCTATCTCTCCCACCCTCTCGAGATTCAGAGCCTTCTGCTTCCCCGATGATTTTATCCTCATATCAAATGGTCTAGTGGGTGGGCGATATGCAGGAGATACTGACGCGGACTATTATTAGTGTGGCAGATAACTCTAGAGATTCTTCAACTTTTTTCTCTGACCGGAATATGTAGCTATTTTATCTCTTTTATTAAGTTTATGTTCATTGAAGGCAAACATATTTCTAACAGAA